TGGATGCTCTGAGTGCTCTGGCCGCATGATTTCACACTTGTCTCCCAGTAAGCTCTGGATGCTCTGAGTTCTCTGGCCGCATGATTTCACACTTGTCTCCCACATGTCTTAGCCCTATGTCACAACCTGGATCCATAAATTTCATGTTTTAGCCCTTGTACGGCGTCCCATTGTAAAGTCAATGAAGAGCAGAATTTTAATGCTTTCCCTTTGAATCTTGTATGTGCGTCTACATGGTGGACTATAGTTTTCTTCCTCTAGGAAATACTGCTGGCCATATTGTTCGGAGATCTCATTTTTGAACATTGCTCTGTTTGGGGTCTACGCTGGTATAATTTGTTTTTTTCTCCTGCTTTAAAAGACTTCCCCTCTACTGGTTCCTGCAACCATCCGGGGATTGGGGTCCAGTCGGGGACATGACACAAAACCCAAACCTCGATATTATGTGTCCCCCAAAGAGGCTGCATAATATCATCATATCCCTCACATGCAGCCATTGGCAGCCCAAAAGGACAAGGTACCATCCAAAGCAGTTCCTGCCAGGCTTCGGCGAAGGGGCTGAAAAAGGCGGAGCCTTTGCCACCAGAGGCACCTCTGGCAGAGAGCACTAGCAAGAGAGCTTGGCAGCTGGCGCGGCAAAATGGTCGTGACCTGGGCTGCAGTCGTGGGCGGTGTCGACAGACAGGCGAAATGCAGAGAGGGAGACAGCTGTAGAGGTAAGGGTGTCGAGGAACCTATACAATTAAAAAACACTCACCAAAATGGCCTTGGATGTAGTTTACAGTAGTGATCTGAATCGAGCTTTCTTGGGGGAATGTTATATTCGTATTAATAGGGGGCCGCCCGCTGGCATTGTTTCTTTTTGGGATGTTTTTCCCCAAACAGTTTACTGTTAGGGGTTCTCAATTCTTTCTTAAGATGTGTCCGCCCTTTCTGTCACTGCTGGTGTCCGCCCTTTTCCGCTGGCCATGTAGCATTTCTATTCATTTGTCTCCCAGGTCGGTCATTTGTGGTCTCCGCCCTTTTGCGCTGGCCATGCAGCATTTCTATTCATTTGTCTCCCAGGTCTGTCACTGGTGGTGTCCGCCCTTTTCTGCTGGCCATGTAGCATTTCTATTCATTTGTCTCCCAGGTCTCTCACTGCTGGTGTCCTTTTTCGTTGGCCATGTAGCATTTCTATTCACTTGTCCCCCAGGTCTGTCACTGCTGGTGTCCGCCCTTTTCCGCTGGCCATGCAGAATTTCTATTCATTTGTCTCCCAGGTCTGTCACTGCTGGTGTCCGCCCTTTTCCGCTGGCCATGCAGAATTTCTATTCATTTGTTTCCCAGGTCTGTCACTGCTGGTGTCCGCCCTTTTCCGTTGGCCATGTAGCATTTCTATTCATTTGTCTCCCAGGTCTGTCACTGGTGGTGTCCGCCCTCTTCCGCTGGCCATGTAGCATTTCTATTCATTTGTCTCCCAGGTCTGTTGCTGGTGATGTCCGCCCTTTTCCGCTGGCCTGTAGCATTTCTATTCATTTGTCTCCCAGGTCTGTTGCTGGTGATGTCCGCCCTTTTCCGCTGGCCTGTAGCATTTCTATTCATTTGTCTCCCAGGTCTGTCACTGCTGGTGTCCGCCCTTTTCCGCTGGCCATGAAACATTTCTATTCATTTGTCTCCCAGGTCTGTCACTGGTGGTGTCCGCCCCTTTCCGCTGGCCATGTAGCATTTCTATTCATTTGTCTCCCAGGTCTGTCACTGCCGGTGTCCGCCCTTTTCCGCTGGCCATGTACCTTTTCTATTCATTTGTCTCCCAGGTCTGTCGCTGCTGGTGTCCGCCCTTTTCCGTTGGCCATGCAGCATTTCTATTCATTTGTCTCCCAGGTCTGTCACTGCTGGTGTGTCACTGTGTCCGTCTTGTCTCCCTTCTGTTTCCTTTTGTCTCCCTTCTTGTCTCCCGTGTTGTCCCCCTTCTTGTTGGTCATTGTGTCCGCTTTGTCTTCATTCTTGTCTCCCTGTGTCTCCGGTCTTGTCTCCCTTCTTGTTGGTCAGTGTGTCCGCCTTGTCTCTTTTCTGTCTCCCTTTGTCTCCGGTCTTGTCTCCCTTCTTGTTGGTCAGTGTGTCCGTCTTGTCTCCCTCTGTTTCCTTGTTGTCTCCCTTCTTGTTGGTCATTGTGTCTGTCTTGTCTCCCTTTTTTTCCTTTCGTCTGCCTTCTTGTCTCTCTTCATTGTGTCTGCCTTGTCTCCCTTCTTGTCTCCCTTTGTCTCCAGTCTTGTCTCACTTCTTGTTAGTCACTGTGTCCGTCTTGTCTCCCTTCTTTTCCCTTCTTGTCTCCCTTGTTGTCTCCCTTCTTGTTGGTCATTGTGTCCGCCTTGTCTTCCTTCTTGTCTCCCTTTGTCTCCCTTCTTGTTCGTCATTGTGTCCGTCTTGTCTCCCTTCTCTTGCCTTTGTCTCCCTTCTTGTTTGTCATTGTGTTCGTCTTGTCTTTCCTTTTGTCTCCCTTCTTGTTGGGTATTGTGTCCGCCTTGTCTTTCTTTCTGTTCCTTTTGTCTCCCTTCTTGTCTTCCTTCTTGTTGGTCACTGTGTCCACCTTGTCTCCCTTCTTGTTGATGTCTCAAAAAGTGGACTTGGGAATGCTTCGTTGTTGTCTAGTCTAACCTGTTTGGGGTCTACAGTGGTGTAAGTTTTGGCCAACCAGCCAACCAACCCACCCACCCACCAACCAACCCACCAACCCACCAACCAACCAACCAACCAACCAACCAACCAACCAAAACAATCCAACCAACCAACCAACCAAAACAATCCATCCAACTAACCAACCAACCAAAACCAACCAAAGCCAACCAGCCAGCCAACCAACCAACCAGCCAACCAGCCAACCAACCAACCAACCAGTCAACCCACCAACCAACCGTCCGACCAACAAACCAGCAAACCAGCAAACCAACCAACAAACCACCAACAAACCACCAACAAACCAACCAACAAACCACCAACAAACCACCAACAAACCAACAGCAACCAAGAACAACCAACAACAACTAACACCAACAACCCACAACGACAACCAACAACCACAACTACAACTTCAATGACAACAGCAACAAGAAGAACAACAAGAACAATAACACATCAAAAATAATAAACAACAACAACAACAACTACTACTACTACGACGACGACGACTACTACTACTACTACTCCTGCTACGACGACGACGACGACTACTACTACTAATACTCCTACTCTGCCACTTACAACAGCAACAACAACAACAACTACTACTCCTACTACTACTACTACTACTGCTACGACTAATGCTAGTCACTGCTACTGCTACTGCCACAGCCACCACAGCCACCACAACAGCAACAACTGCTGCTGCTGCTGCTACTTCTACTACTTTTGCTTGCCGAGCCCGTAGCTACACAGCCAGCCAGCCGGCAAAGAAATAACAGACCAGGTTGCTCGCCGGGTGCGCGACTTCTTCCTGCAGTTTTTTTGGCTCGCATGTTCTGACTCGAACTCTGCTCCGCCACGGCCAGGTGAGGATGCCGCGCAGAGGGCCACGAAGCAGAAGCAGGCCATGCAAGAGGAGACCGATGAACCGATCGAGAGATCCGAGGCCGAGGAGGTAACCCGAGACGAGTGGCGCACGCGGCGCACGCGCCCGAGATCCCGACAGAGCAGCCGAGATCCGCGGCTCCAGTCTTTGGGGTGATTTCGGGAGGGAAAGCTTAGGGTTGCCAGCTGCCAACTTGGCGGTTGCAGTGAAAACCATTGAACACCATTTATCGCTGTCACTGCTTGAGGAGGGGCTTTTCTGAACCAGAACAATCCACCTTCACTGGTGTGTTTCACAGGGTCGGGCAGGTCCGAAACAGGTCCACCAGGCTAGCGCTTGCAGACACACCCACACACAGGCCCAAGTACCATGTTTGGGAACACCATGGAACACCCACGTCTTGCGAAGGATCCATGCCGGAGGTTGCTGACCTACCTGTTTCCCTCCAACAACAGCACACACACATAAGATTATACTATGAACATAATACTAGATATATAAAATAGACCGACATGGTCGACACCACAACATTTCTGGTCCCACCGTGTCACTTGTTCACACTTCGCTCCGTCCCGAGGATCCGGAGAAGCCGCCTCGCCGGCGGCGCGGCTCCGGAGGATGGTGGGAGAGCAGCGAGCCGCACCAGGCACGCCAGGCGCCGAGGTCACGGCAGAAGGGGTGGATGGAGGAGCAGGAGGAAGCGCTGGAAGGACGTCTGAGCGCCGAAAAATTGCACAAGCTGGAGCCTGGGCGGCTCACAATTTGGACACAATTGGAGGTGTTTAGCTTGTGACCACTGGTGTTTTTGCAGCCGATCCCCGAAGGCTACCACTGGCTTTAGCTCAAATTATCGGCTAGAATTGTACCCAAGATTCCAAATCACATCCCTAAACTCCCCCAAAAATTATCGCCCCTCCTGTAAGTATAGTCCCCCCTGTTAAGCCAGGCCCTGAGCCCTGTCAAAGTAGGCCCCCTGGAGACGGTCCACGCGTGTAGAATCAGGTCAAAAAAGGGTCTTGGTGGGATGCGGACATAGGTCTGGCTAACCCCACCCACCCACCCACCCACCCACCCAAAGCGTGCATGTTTTTTGTTTTGTTTTGGGGGGGGTCATGCTTGCCAAAAAGAATCGCTGTCATTTACCATGAAGGCGAGACTCTTTACGAGATAGTGAAGAGAATTGGTCTGATAGAGGTCTGTGAGTATAAAGAACGTAAATGTATTCTGTACCGACCGGACTTGCTCTACATACGACCATGGGAAATGCATGAAGTGGTCGACCAGCTACATGGGACTTGTTTCATTTTAGAGTTCCAACAAAGAGAGACTACTGACTGCCAGATTGATGAAACTTCATTCATGCAGCGTAGAGAGCAGGTCAGCCAGTTGAATGCCTTCCTGAATCGCATTAGAGGAGACTTTCATGAAGTAACGGTCTGGACGCATCCGGAATCAAAAGTCGACACTTACCAAGAGACTGCAAAGATATACCACATAGGACGAAACCCGTCCCGAGAGTTTGAAAAAAAGGCATGTTCTCAGATCACGAGTGAGATAGGGTGCCGAGCCTTTGTGGTTGAACCGATGCCTTTTTTTGCACGGCAATTTCGACCAACTGTGATAGCTACAGATGCACCGATGGAATATCGCCGGATTTTCCTGGTTGAGTCCCATCTCCTTGAGACCATTAGTCTGGGAACGGTGCTTTAAGTGCACATTTTGAGCCACTATCAACTGCTCGTCTCTTCGAAATTGTGCAGCCAGGGAATGGATGTGCAAGAGGCAGCGAATGTTTTGTTGAATTGCGACATAGGCATTACGAATATCACCATGACATTCTCCTATTTGATGGAGACCATATCCGAATGTTTGAAAGGCCTATGGATGAAACAAACACTAGTAGCACTAGTTGTGGAACGGAGTATTCACAGGCCGATAGCCAAGAGCCTTCGCAAGCTACTAACTTGATCGATTCGTCCTGGGCAGAAATTAGCAATGTCGATGTGGATGATTTATTGGATCCAGAAAGTGAGGACACTAATTCGCTATTCCAGGAAATTGTCCATGTGCGGCAATCGACACGTGCACCAATTGTGATGCCGCAGGACCATGAGGTTAACGCCTTATGGCGAAATCTGCAGTGGCACGAAGACGTGCAAAGAGCTAATACAGCCACTTTTGTCTACGGCTATGAGCACCTCCAACTTGAAGCCAGGGCATTCTTCAGATCAAGAGGCAGTTGGCCACGATTCACCTTGATTGGTCAAGAGCCGATAGCCATTGACTTCTGGGATGTCGGTGTGGATGAGCACTTTGTGCTCACACAGCGGGAATTGGTGGCAGTACTGCGTGGGTTCCTTGCTCCATGGCTCCCGATTCACACGGGACTCAAGATGGCGGTGGTCTGGCCTCTGGTTGTACCAGAAGAACAAGATGGAGAAGAGAACATATATATAGTGTTGGGGCCACGAGAACGGACGCCAGAGCTTTCAATGGTCTATGTAGTGGGATGGCATGTTGGAGAAGAAAAACCCTTCCTGGGGAATCTTGTTGGCTTGCCAGAAACCCTACAGACGACTGATCTGATCGAACTTGTACATCTGACAGATGTTTGTCTCGATCCGGACTACGAATGCTCTGTCCAGTACAATTATCGTGAATTGCCTCTATTTGTGCATTGGAGGCCTTTCCAGGGCATGAAGATTCATATTTTTGTCCGATATGAGGGGCCCCGTTGTACTCGACAGGAAGATGATACTTTTGCCGATGAGGAGGTCACTTCTATGATGCAAAGCCAAAGAACATCGACATGGACTGGATTGAAGAGACTGTCCCATTTTCTGCAGCCATGGGAGACCTGGAGATGGGCAATTCCATTCCCGCCTGAAAGCAGCTACGTGTTGCGAACCCCAGATACTGTACGAGGACAGCTTTCTAGTATTCTGTCGCATGAGTCAAGATCCACCATTGATTGTACCTTTTGGGTCATCGGCCTGCAAGGAGTTCCCACCAGACTTGATCAAGAGCTCGCGACTGATAGCTGGACTGAGGCATTCCGTAACATAGCGGTGCATACTGCAAGTGACCAGGTGAGATTTGTGCTTGTGGCCCGGCAACCACGTGGGGAGCCTAAGTACCAGTTCCTGGTCCTGCCAAAAGATTTGTTCTATAGTGGAACCAGATATTTTCTATTTGATGATTGCACGACTGATCAGACTCATCGATCGGTGATTGCATGCGCCGACCCATGCAGAACAGAAGATCTCGTAGGGGCTGCTGCCAGACAAACAGGTGTCTTTGAATCCAATGCTGTCTTCGGCGCTACGCCGAGGGATACAGAAAGACTGTTTCCTGGACAAGAGATCAATCTACCAACTGGGACGTATATTTGGATTGAACCAAGGCCCGAAGAACAGCTCTGTGTCATGCCGATCCAAGACCAACTTTGTCTAGAAGATGAGACATCTCTCATGCAGAGGCATCATACTCTGACTTTTGACCTCAGGGAAATATTGCCAGCTCTGCGAGCCAAGTATGGAAGCCCAGAACCTCCCGGCCAACCCCAAGTCATACATCTGGTATATGGAAGCGAAGATATAGTCCGCGACGAGCTGCACCGACTGGAGCCTTCATGTCTTCAAGATGCAATTATATTCCAGAACTGGCTTCTACAGCGGCTGCCCCGGACATACGGCCCAAAAGCAAGATGCTTCCGCACGCAGTACCAGCTGGTGCCAGAGGCTGAGCTCCTGATCCTTACTGACCGGGACCGTGCTGGAAGGATTCCAACATATGTGATTGCTCGTTTCGCTGATGAGCCTACCAGGAGGCATTTAACCTTCCGAGATTCAGTGGAACCAGTATGGCATCTAATTGGGTGCTTCAGTTGGACAAGAATGCAGGCACGGCAAGGAACAGACTTTGTCTATACAGTTGATGGGAGACAGGTTCCTGCTAGGCAGCCGCTTCGGATATCCCCTGCGCCTGTTGTTCTTCTACACCAGAGCCCATACACTGAAGATAATAGTGTTCCCGAGAGATCGGATTGCGAATTTGCCTCAGCGGCAAGCTCAAGCATTTCGTCATTCATGTCCTTCCCTCCGACAGATGAGATTCAAGATGACGAATTTGACCTCACGCAAAGAACGACAGCCCTTGCCGCAATACCGGAAGGATCACAGCCGAATCGAAGACAGGGCCAGCACTTGCCAAAGCCGTGCGCTGAAATTATCGTTTTTGATAGTTATCCGGGGGATGTCCTGCGAATTGCGTACTGTCGCTTTTATCTACGAGTGCCAAGAGTAATGGTGACCATTCAGACTTATCTCCATGCAAGGGGGGAAATGGCGGTTCGAACTGGTCGCATTGTCCAAATCTGGCCGTTCCAATCGTTTACAGGCCGTGTTTTTGAAGCATGGGGCCAAGATGAAAGATTTCCTTTCCAGGCAGTTTTCGTATATCCGACACCCATGACACGTATCAGGGAACAGAATGGCGCCTTCCTCCTCCTGCAACCAGCAGATGCAGTTGGGCAGCTTATATATGTCGAAGTTCACGATGTCCCATACCTTCGTGGTAGTGTGCTAGTTGACCCGGGTGATACGATCTGGTCAGCCTATGTCAAGATCGGCGGGTCGGCAAGAGAAGAAGCCACGAGGCTTCGAGCAAGGGACATGGCGGATCCACGAAGAGTCATGACAGCCCTTGAAACCCTTGGCTGCAGAGAAGGAGCTTATCTAGTGATCTACTTCGAGCGACGCCAGGCAAATGAATTGGGAGATCATTGTGACTTCGAGACACAGACAGAAGAGGATGATGAGCTGACTTTGATGCAAACCACTGGACACTGTGGCTTGGATGATGGACGGTCAGCTATATCATTGAGGCACATGGAATACTGCTCGGAAGAGCGCATCTCATGGGTGATGCCACTGAGAATCCACACCCAGGAGGACTCATTTGATAGTGGCGAAAGCAATTTCGACTATGCCTTTGCGCACTATGTACGTCATGGTCTCTATTTTGGTCGTCTTGCCATATCCGGCTGGCTCTTCCGAAATACAGGTCAACTCATAGGAGATCCATTCTCGTGGGGATTGCATGGACTAGCCCAATGGTCACAGCAACTCAAGAGCCTGGCCAGTGGGCTCCAAATTGGAGATATTATCCTCTATACAGTGATCCCGACCCCTCCTGAACTGCTGGAGGAACGGAGACAGCATGTACTCCAGCTGATCGTGCCATATGCTAATTTTCGCCATGCCCCTTTGATCCTTGTAGTCGAACATGTACTGTCTCCACCGCGGATTCGAAGGGCAGTTTCTTGCGCAGAACCCTGCTTTGTTGATAGCCTTTTTAGACTAGCGGGTCTCGCAGGTTGGTGCGATGATTTGCACATATGCACGGTCACCTTCATACATGGGGTATGCAGGCGAGATTTCACTGATCGAGATGTAGTCAGTCTGCCAATGGCATCACTGGTTAAGCTATCAGTGCAGAACCGTCCATATCATCCTTGCGAACACCGACCAAGGTCACAGATCGCGGGTTATCAAGATGGTCCAAGGGGCGCGACTGGGCGAGTCTATCCGCACGGTTCCCCACATTACCAGCGGACAGCTGGCCAGGCAGCGGAAGTGGCACAACCGCCTGTCGAAGGGGACTTTGAAGAAATCGATATCCATGCTTTGATGCAAGCCTCTAGTGCGTCCTCGTCAACGTCCTCAGAACATAGGTCTATCA